TGTGTTATTTCTCATATTTATCAGCTGTTACTTCTATTAACCCTAGTACTACCGGCCTTTTTTAAGCACTATAATGAGTAGATCTGTTTAAATAGAGTGATTTTTTTTACTATTGAACCAGTCTCTTGATGAATTATACTTTTTTCACGTTCCATCTGATAAAAAAATTATTAAAATAATATTCTTTATTTAGAACAAGTAATACAAAAAATACGCGTAACAGAGTGTTCATCACAAACAAATTCGGAACACTTACAACATGTAGTTGAAGTCTTCTTGTCTACAGAACGTTCACACATTGAACATCGTTTGCGCTTTGATCGAGTAGGATTTTCATTTGAGTCTGATATATTTCTTTTCACTATAGGATAACCAACAACAGCTAATGCATCTTGAATATCTTTGTTCAAAAAATTGGAGGTTCTTGAGCGAAAATCAAGAAGATGAGAGGCTAAACTGAGTCCTAATTCTTCTATGAATAAACGACGTTTATATCGTTTATTCTGGTTCCATTATGGATTTTTCGTCTTCCATATGATTAGAGCATTTATAGCAGCGATGTCTATCATGCCATAAAAAATACAAAGCGGCCACCGCTTTGTACCTCTTTTTGTCTATAAAAGATGAAATGTAAAAATTTTAAAAGAGCTTTTTTACCGTATATTTATGACACATTTGATCAACAGTGTCAACAGCCCCCTTTGTTTTGTTATAATCCATAATAATCATTGGTTTTCCAGTTTTTGCGTCTATTCGAGTATCATGATGTTTTGAAGAAAGCAATAAAACAGCTTTATTTGGTTTAGGTACAAATGAAACTAAAGTTAGATCATCTTGAAAACCAAAAAGCGAGGAGCCAACTTCACGATTTTTATTTGATTGAAATTCGATGGGGATTTCTGGTTTATTTTTTCGTAGTGTTCCTGTGAGAGTCAGGTTTTTCTTTTGAAGTTCTTTGGCTAATGGAACGCTAGTAAAGAAATTATCCATTGTAACATTTCTGTTTGAACCATATACTGGCTTCAGCAATTCTAAAACTACATTTGCACCTATATGTTGTTGTCTTTGTTGATCTGGTTGTCGTCCAATGTAAGGAAATGCATTGAATACGTAATATGATTCCACATCAACGCATAACCAGAATTTTAAGCCGTATTTATCAGGCTTCTTTGGAATAAATTGACGAAAAGGTCATTTTCCTCTAAAGACTAATAACTGTTCGTCAATGGTAACATACGCTCCTGGTGTATAACACATTGTTAAATTATTTTGAAAATCTGACCAGATTTCACGAATTGCTGCATATTTATCTGTTCTTTTTCTTTCTTCTCTTGTCGTTTTGTCATCGAATCTTAAACAGGACATTATTTCTTCGAAACGACTTCTTGACATAACGGCTTTGAATATTGGAGATTCTAATGGACTTCTTCTCCATAAGCATTTCAAATTTGTCTTTGATTTTCCTAATAAACCAGCTAGCAATAGAAGTCCGGTAAAAGCTTTTAATTCGATCATTGTTATTTCTGCTGGTTTTTCATTGGAATTAATGTTTCGAGTGTATTCCATATTGGAATAAATCAGAATTTTCTGTAGTATTTTTTCCGACATAAAATAAATAAATGCATCTTCAATGGATGAAACATGTTCAGTAATTTCTGTAAGTCCAGCTTTTTCAATAGTATCATTTGAACAATTTGTATTATTTGAATGATGAGGCATTGAAGACCAGGTCATTCCGGATTTGGATGCATATAAACTTTTTGGCATCGAATCATCGCTTAATTTAAGGGACCCCCCCCCCTTTCGGCGTTTCTGAGAAACGGCCAAGCGAAAATTCCTGAAAATTTCAGGGTAGATAGACCTTGAGTAGTAGAGCAAAAGTTGTCATAGACACAAATTTGCCAGACCTCGTCTTCATGGACTTCTGCAGACCCCAAGGTCCAAAAATTGCCTAAAGTTTTCCCCCCTGCAACTCCACAGATTTTTTTTTTGAAAAATTCCTAAAACTCACGAAGTGAGAATCAAAATACTGAAGACCTCGTCAAAAACCTGGTTTTTCAGGTTGCTAAAAATTTTGTGAATTCTGCCAAATTTTATTGGTAAGAGATATCGACAAAAGAAAAAAAATACACCCCACAAATTAGTTGAAGTATTACCAAAAAAATTTTCAGCTCGGTCGGACTTAAAATGGTCGAGAAAAAGGGGGAATACTGACTTTTCTCACCCAAAAAACTAGTTTCGAGAAAAATGCAAAATAAAATAAAC